ACTTATCTAATCTGGGGGTACTTCTAGGGACAGTGCATGTGCATGTGTGTTGCAGTGGGGAGGGGGCCAAGTTTGGTTGGGAGACTGGGGAAAACTCATACCATCCTTTCTGCACAAGAGAGTGAGAGGGTGGGTGCAGTCCTGGGTAGGGCCCAGGATGAAAGCATGGACCACTCAATTTCTTGGCCCCGTTTCCTACATTCATTCATATGAAAGATTTCGTTTCTTGGAGATGAGAAGTAAATCTATGGCAGGCTTCTGATACAGAAAAAGGATTTTTTACAAGTCGAGTGTTTTTGCTCCTTTGAGGTCCTAGGTTAGAGGAAGGAAACTATCTTTGCAAGGACAACATGCCAGCTTAGTTCCAAGCATACCTCGTGTCTTTTGCCTCTTGACACCCTACGGGGAAGGTCTTATCTACCCCTGTGCAAAGGAGGAAGCTGGGGCTGAGAAAGCGGTATGCTCAAGGCTACCCAGATGGGCAGCTGACAACCTCCCAAAGTACACATTTTTCCTCAGTGCCATTCTCCTCCTTTCTTCAAAGAGCAAGGAAGGGATAGAGAAATGCATGTCTTGATTTTTGCAAGAAATGAATTTTATAAAGTTAACTGCCATACATATCCTGGCCAGCACTGCAGAAGGGATGCAGGATTTTTCTCTTTTTAATTCTTCTAGATCTCTGTTGAATGTTCTAGAATTTCTGATCTTATTAACTTGAACCTTATCATCAAAAAGTTCGGCAGGGCATCATTTATTTATTTAAATTTTTTATTAAGGTATGATTGATAAACATTTTTAGGAAGTTTTCACATGAAAAAACAATGTGGTTACTACATTTACCCATATTATCAAGTCCCCACCCATACCCCAATGCCGTCACTGTCCATCAGAGCAGCAAGATGCCACAGATCCACTATGTGCCTTCTCTGTTGCTACACTGTTCTCCCTGTGATCCCCCACACCATGTGTACTAAACATAATACCCCTTCTTCCTCCCTCCCCACCCACCCTCCCACCCTCCTCCCCTTTGGTAAGCACTAGTTCATTCGTGGAGTCTCTGAGTCAGGCAGGGCATCATTTAATAGGATGCACTCTTGTAGGCATCAGGATACAGGATCAAAGAAAGGTATCAAAAATCCCAGTCTCCAAGGAGCCCTCCCAGTGCCTGCAGGAAGGCTTAGGAGCCTGCCTGCCTTCCAGGAATCCTGGCACATGGCTAGTGTTATTTGAAAAATCAAGCACAAAATGCAAGCTTCTAACCTGACTAGGGAAAACAGATGGGTGCTGGTCATGAAGAGTTTAAGGCTTTCCATTAATCCTCCTACCTCTGAGGGGAAAATCAGGAAGGAGGCGTGGTCTGAATCGGTCACATTTAAACAGGTGTGGGAGGGCCCTGGCTAGGTGCTCCCAGGAACAAACTTTTCCTCCTCCTCCAGTGCAGTATCTGGGATGGGGCAGCCTGAACAAAGGGGGCCCGGCCCAAACATTCCCAGCCCTGGGCCATGTCTGTTTTGTGTCCCATTCTGTCCCCTAGCTCACATCAATCATGCTGAGATCTGTGACTTGAAAATGGGTATGGGAAAACACACAGGACAGACAGTTGTGCCTCTCTGGTTTTCAGTGCTTAAATTTAGCTTTGGCAAGGAGTTTTCTAGGAGATCCAGCTTACCTCGCTGGCACTCTGAAGTCAATAGTAAAGTGTTACCCTGCTTTACTTCACCCTCTGTACACAGGCTCCCCTGGGAGACTTGATATGGACTTCCCTGTGACAAAGAGGAAAATGATGGCCTGGGCAGGGTGCTTACTATGTGCCAGGCACTGTTCTAAGTACGTCCTACAGATGACTTGATTCAACTCATCAACCCTGGGAGGGAGTTTCCTTTCTCAGAAAAGCAAACAAAGGCTTAGAGGCTAAGAATCTTGCCAACAGTCATATGTGACTGATTAGAAGGCCATACTCCATATAACAATACTTTCATCACACTCTGTATATTCCAATAACAGGCAGTCCATAAATTAAAGGCAGCTATAGGCTCAGCCCAACCCTGTAAATTACAGATGTACAAGCTCACTTGTAACTGATACTTAAGTGTTAAAACACTCATATCCAAAAAGAAATAGATGTTACACAATCTCTAACTGTACTAATGCAACCTTTTTTTTCTTTCAACATTATTTTATTGTAATAAGGAAAACCTTATTACTTACTAAGAGTGGGATCTTAATCTTTAAAAAATTTATCATAAACCATTAAAAAAAATCACTTTTGTGGACTCACATACCCTGAACACTATTCCATTTCAGCTCCAGTGCTAATCTGCTTACTGGCCAGGTCTCTTTGGGCCTAATGCTCACCCAGAGCCAATACCCACCAAGGCCTGGTTGCCCTTCTGAGTTCCTCCTCACAGCGGTACCTGCGCCCTCCCCAGGACCCTTCCTCCCTGACAGCCACACTGCCCAGTCTCCACAACTTTCCTGTCTCCTCCATCTCTCTGCCAGCACCATCTGAGATCCGGCCCTGTCACCGTCACCTAGACTATCACTCATTTCGGCTGCACTTTGGCCTCCCACCAACTGTTTGTTGTGTTCACTCTAGAATGCCATGAATGGCCACAGGCTGGCAACCCTTCAGCCTCTCTGACCCTCAGTTTCCTCATCTGCAAGCAGGGACATCCCCATTTTCTGGGAAAGCGCAACTTCCCAACACACACATAATGCACTTGGCAGAGTTAAGTACAGTTAGTAAAAACAAGCTCCCCTTAGTGTAGTCTTTCTTGTTATTGTTTCTTTTGGGCATGCTGGAGTCAAAAGAAATACCTTCTAGAACACCAGAAGCTTCTTCCCTAGCTGTTTAGTTCTCCTTTTCTGCCCTTCCACCTACTCAGAAGTCTCCAAGGAGCCCTCCCAGTGCCTGCAGGAAGGCTTAGGAGCCTGCCTGCCTTCCAGGAATCCTGGCACATGGCTAGTGTTATTTGAAAAATCAAGCACAAAATGCAAGCTTCTAACCTGACTAGGGAAAACAGATGGGTGCTGGTCATGAAGAGTTTAAGGCTTTCCATTAATCCTCCTACCTCTGAGGGGAAAATCAGGAAGGAGGCGTGGTCTGAATCGGTCACATTTAAACAGGTGTGGGAGGGCCCTGGCTAGGTGCTCCCAGGAACAAACTTTTCCTCCTCCTCCAGTGCAGTATCTGGGATGGGGCAGCCTGAACAAAGGGGGCCCGGCCCAAACATTCCCAGCCCTGGGCCATGTCTGTTTTGTGTCCCATTCTGTCCCCTAGCTCACATCAATCATGCTGAGATCTGTGACTTGAAAATGGGTATGGGAAAACACACAGGACAGACAGTTGTGCCTCTCTGGTTTTCAGTGCTTAAATTTAGCTTTGGCAAGGAGTTTTCTAGGAGATCCAGCTTACCTCGCTGGCACTCTGAAGTCAATAGTAAAGTGTTACCCTGCTTTACTTCACCCTCTGTACACAGGCTCCCCTGGGAGACTTGATATGGACTTCCCTGTGACAAAGAGGAAAATGATGGCCTGGGCAGGGTGCTTACTATGTGCCAGGCACTGTTCTAAGTACGTCCTACAGATGACTTGATTCAACTCATCAACCCTGGGAGGGAGTTTCCTTTCTCAGAAAAGCAAACAAAGGCTTAGAGGCTAAGAATCTTGCCAACAGTCATATGTGACTGATTAGAAGGCCATACTCCATATAACAATACTTTCATCACACTCTGTATATTCCAATAACAGGCAGTCCATAAATTAAAGGCAGCTATAGGCTCAGCCCAACCCTGTAAATTACAGATGTACAAGCTCACTTGTAACTGATACTTAAGTGTTAAAACACTCATATCCAAAAAGAAATAGATGTTACACAATCTCTAACTGTACTAATGCAACCTTTTTTTTCTTTCAACATTATTTTATTGTAATAAGGAAAACCTTATTACTTACTAAGAGTGGGATCTTAATCTTTAAAAAATTTATCATAAACCATTAAAAAAAATCACTTTTGTGGACTCACATACCCTGAACACTATTCCATTTCAGCTCCAGTGCTAATCTGCTTACTGGCCAGGTCTCTTTGGGCCTAATGCTCACCCAGAGCCAATACCCACCAAGGCCTGGTTGCCCTTCTGAGTTCCTCCTCACAGCGGTACCTGCGCCCTCCCCAGGACCCTTCCTCCCTGACAGCCACACTGCCCAGTCTCCACAACTTTCCTGTCTCCTCCATCTCTCTGCCAGCACCATCTGAGATCCGGCCCTGTCACCGTCACCTAGACTATCACTCATTTCGGCTGCACTTTGGCCTCCCACCAACTGTTTGTTGTGTTCACTCTAGAATGCCATGAATGGCCACAGGCTGGCAACCCTTCAGCCTCTCTGACCCTCAGTTTCCTCATCTGCAAGCAGGGACATCCCCATTTTCTGGGAAAGCGCAACTTCCCAACACACACATAATGCACTTGGCAGAGTTAAGTACAGTTAGTAAAAACAAGCTCCCCTTAGTGTAGTCTTTCTTGTTATTGTTTCTTTTGGGCATGCTGGAGTCAAAAGAAATACCTTCTAGAACACCAGAAGCTTCTTCCCTAGCTGTTTAGTTCTCCTTTTCTGCCCTTCCACCTACTCAGACTCTTTAGTCCTCCCAACCAGGGTGAAATCAATAGCCTCAGATGATTTCATGGAGGATCAGAAGGGCACAGGGGAGAGGGTGTGGCCTCAGCAGGAAGTGATCTAAACTTCTAGGTGTTGGAAAAAAGCCTACAGGGAATGGAATATTCCATTTTTACCCTGCCACAAGCAATGAAGCATAATAGTAAATGTTTAACAAAATAAATAAATGTTAATTATGAGAAATAGGTTAAGAAAGGGGTTGATGGTACTTCTTTGTGATCTTAGTCATAAAAATGCTGTAATATTCTAAGATACTAGTAAATATAAAATGAGCTGATTTGTTACATAACAAGACCAAATATACCTAAAAATAATGACAATATAGAGAAGAATTCTGCATTTTATTGCACTCAAATAACATTAAACAGATGACATTTACATTATTTTTAGAAAATCCATTGATGCTGCCAAGCTTGGCATATATTTGTAAAGACAAGGCTCATTAATTCAAATATTTGGAATTAAAAAGTATCTTAAGTTGATCACAGCATAATGAATCCTCAATTTCCACAGTTCTAGAGATTATATACAAAAATTCAGTAAAATTTTACTCATTTATTTGTTTTATGTCACTCCTCAGTTTCCCTAAAAAAATATGGCTTTATAAAAAGTAGTGTTCAATAGTTCACAATATGAATTAAGAGCTTAATTTGAATTTGAGTAGCAACTCTGATTCATATCACAGCTTTAGAAAATTATTGCTCTTCTTACTACATTATTTTGGGTTTTGCTACACATTGGGTAAGCATGCAGAACGCACTACATTGTAACTATGATCTATAATGATAAAAATATAAAATCTCTTTGATCATGACTCTAAAAGCAGGAAAAAAGTCATCTTATCCTTAAACAATGTTAACATACTCAAGAGCTACCCCTGACATGTAAACGAAACTACTTATTATGGCTTTTTTACAGCTCATGACCTTCACAAAATGATGTTGCAGCTACTTTTTTTTTTTAACAAATGAATACTTTCATCACAGCAACTATTTCTGAAGCAAAATAAACCACATTAAAAATAGAAGAAACTCTTCAGTATAGAAAGGGAGGGGTTCATTCATTGTGGAATAGCAGCAGGCATCCGGCTCTGAGTGTTTTCCCAAGTTCTAAATGAACTCAGCTAGAGGCATTGCTGCCTTCATTAGGAAGAGCACTGCATAGTCTTTAGTGTTGTGAGGGCACTATTTAAATTAGCCAAAGGCAGAATAATTTCATACACTAGTAATTTAACAGACTTTCTAAAATTTAAACAAATACTGAATGGACTACAGCTATGATCTGATTGATTCAAAGTGCCAAAAAGCATTTCTTTGCATGATAGAGCAGGCTATTCCTTTCCCTATGCCCTAACAAGGAATTTAAGTTTCCTCCCTCATTTTGAAAAACAAATAAAACATGATAACTTAAGACTTTCATTGAAATATTAAATTTTTCTAATTAGTAAGCTAAAAAGCTACAGGAATCTCGAATTTTGAGTTTTACCTTAAATACTCAAAGCTAATATAGAAATGTTTGATAAGAATATCAGTACAGATATATACAATTCAAATCTTCACAGCTAATGATAATCTACCTCTACTGGTGTCCTTAAGAGAGCTAATGCAAGGCACTCTTAGCGGCTTTTATTAATGCATCTACGAGTCAGTCCAATGTAGTTAGTGTTGATTACTAAGAATAGATATGTTAAAACCCTGCCAAGGCAATTGCTGCTATGTCATCAATATAATTATTAACTGTTGTCTGAAAAACACACATCAATGCAGGTAAGACTAAAAGTTGTGTTACTAAAAGAAAAAGAAATCCAAAAGATCTACTAATGCTATCAAAATAGGACATGCAGAAATGGAACGTTTTACGCATAACTTTTTTCTAAAAAAAAAAATTAAAATGCCAGTGGACTATGATTCATTCAAAACATCATTAGTGTGCATTCCCACAGATCTTGATCTGCTCAGTAATTACGTCACAAGATCTATCACAGCCATCTTTTGGAGCGTATGGTTAGTCTGGTCCTCCTGTGGTAGTAGGGGCAGTCTTTCTGAAGTTTTAAGCATCTGCAAAAATAAGAGTAAATCTAAATTAAAGGACCAACCAGACACAGACTGTGAAATTGCTTCATTTTCATTCTACTTTTTTAAAAAAACACCACCAGAAGTAAATGCTCTTGGGTTGTTATAAGTTTTAAGGGCAACTTGACAACAGAATGATAACTACCCAGAAAAGTTCCTGGAGATTGCATGCAAAGCTGCTGATGAAAATATGAGGTGCTTAAGCATCTGAGAATTACAACAGAATTTAACATTTCCATCTTTTGAGAAGTATAAGCACTGAATTTCTTTCTCCCATCAGGGTGTTCACTGTACTAAAAAGAAATGCCATAGAGAAAAAAAAATCTAGCACGATATTTGAAAACCATATATAGGAAGGGTTTTCAAGGAGCAATTGGGTATTATAAATTGCAGTTCAAACACATTAATAATTTTATGTCAATTGTTAATGCTACTGACAATATAAGTTGTCAGTTAAAAAAGTATACAGTATTTTAAAAGAAGTAAATTCATTCCTGTTCATTTTTTAACAAATTCTTTCTCATTCTAAAGTTTAGTAGCTGATTTATTTTATTATCACAGCACTGGATTTATGTTACAATTAAAGAAAAGAAGCTGGTGCACCTAAATTATGATCCTTCTTTATCTATCTATCCATCTATGTTTGTGTTCATGCGTAACCAGAAATTTTTATACAAACATGATTATTTGGTGTTAATGTCAAGTAACCAGAAATTCCATGTATACTTCAATATATCCAACAGAAATGAGTGTTTATGTCCACAAAAAAAACATGTACAAGAATATTCATAGCCGCTTTCATTAATAGTGAAAAACCGGGACCATTCACTACCGCCACCGGTGTAGAATGGATTTTTTTTTAAGTGTAACATATTTATAGTCAGTAGCAATGAATAAAGACCAAATTACTGTGTGTAACAGGGTAGATAAAACTAAGAGTGGGTGAAACTCACAGACATGTTGAGCAACAGAAATAGTCACAAAAAAAGTAATATGTATTTATGTGTGTTTATTTATGGTTTTATTTAAGCAAACCCATCTACAGCAATATAGGTCAGAACAGTAGTTACCTGTGTTTCGAAGCTACTGAGATGGGCAGGAGGGAGAGATTTTTAGGGTGCCAGGAGACTTCCTTGTAGTGGGTGCAAAAATGCATCACATACACAAGTTTATCAAACTGTACGTTCAACATTTGAGCACTTCTCTGTGTGTTAATTATCTCAATAGAAAAAATTTTGAGGCATGACTTCAACTTTAGGTTCTCTCAGAATTTATCAGTGTGCTAGGCTATGAGAGGGATAAGCTCTCTGTAACCTGTACCACTAAAGATACCTTGAGACTACGGGGTGTTGTTCCAAGTGTAATGATGAGCACTGATAAAAAGCAAATAAAACTAAATCACTTACAGTTTTGAATGACTCAAATAAATGCTCCTAAATATTTAAAGATGACTCCACTCACAAGTGGTTTACCACATTGCCAACACAACATCTATACAACCAGGGGTCATCTCTCCTGCTCCTCATTTTCTCCTGCCTTTTCTATCTCCCTTAAGCTTCCATCATTCATTTAAGTCAGATAGGAATCATCCTCGACTCTGCCCTCTCAATCAGCCCCCTACCCCATCAAATTATTTCCAACTCCGATGTCTATGAAATCCATGCCTCCCCATCATTCCTTACCCCCTAATTCAAGTTTCCATCACTTACGACTTAGATGAACATATCTTCCCTCTAACTAGTCTCTACCTTCTTGTAGGACTGCTCTTTTCAAATCTGAATTTGATCATGCACTTCCCTGCCTGGAATTTTTCAGTAGCCCCTTGTCACTTTGGGGCTCAGATACAAATTTTTAAACATTGCATATGGGACACTCCAAGAAGTGACACCTGCCTACTCTTCCACCTTGTCTTCTTACACCTTTATATTACACCTGGTCTTGGGCTTTGTTCTGCAAACACTTGCTTCCTCTGCTCCCCACCTGCCAGCTCCTGTCACTTCCATCAGCAGCTCAAAACTCAGCTACAGCACAAGGACCCACAGGAAGCCTTCTCTCGCTCTCCGTACCCTTGTCCCCAAAGTGGGGTTAGTTATACTTCCTTCTGGGTGCTGCCCTGTATATCACCCTGAGGAATTAATGACATCGTACTGGTTATTGTACTTGGCTGTGTGCCCACAGGACAGGACTGGGAACTGCTAAGGGGATGGGACTCTGTTTTTGTTCTTGTATCTTCACTGCTCTGGGCAGAGCCTGTACCATAGCAGTTGCTCAATATGTACTTCTTGAATAAATGATCAATCCTGTAACAATAATATTCATATTGGGCACTTATTAACATAAGCTAAGTCCTCTAAGCACTGTCAGCCTATAGCTGGCTATAAGCCTTATTGGTCATGTAGCACATACTAGATGACAAGGGGAGTCAAGAGTGAAAGTTCTGGACAGATGCAATGGAGTGAAACGATCACCACTGCTAGAAGAGTCAACAGTGGGATGAGTTACAAATGTTATCTTTGTTTTCAGAGAGATGGGAGCACAGAATAACCCAGAAACACTGAGAATTACATCATCTTCACTATGATTAATGTGATCATCATAAATATAAACATATCTTTTTCTGGAATGATATGACAGGAAAATTTACTGATGAATTTCCTAAGTGACTCCTTAATCAGTCAATCAATTTGTGCTACGTATATTTGTGCTGTCACGTTGCTAGAATCATATGCTATATGATCTCAAGTAAACATGAGCTTGAGGGGAATGGTGAAAACTCACTAAAGGAGCAAGGATTATAAAAATCTTCTTTTTTAATCTGGTATTCAAAATGATTGATTTCTAATATCTGAATGATCAATTCCTAGGGCTGACCTTTCACATTCAAGCAAAGCCCTTGAAAATTCACAAATATGAACAACAGATGGCAAAATTTAAACTACTGGACAACCTACTTTTTTCTACAATGAACCATAATAAATCTTCAGCATTCCTGAGTCCTAAATGAAGTGCTAATGTATAGTAAGAGAAAGATGCTAAAGAATACAATATTTCTAATTTTATCCCATCAAAACGGCTCTCAGAACGTGTCAGTTCTTAGGTTTTCATTTATGTAAAACTTTCTAGAGTATGGCAGCTATGGGCATGAACACTGGAGCCAGAACTAAGGATCAATCTTGGTGCCACCACCTGTCAGCTCAGTGATCTCAGGGGGGTTATTCTGCCTTGCTGTGCCCTAGTTTTCTCAGGTGTGAAATGGAGATAACAGCATGTCTATCTCTTGGGCTATTGGAAATATTAAATGAGTTAATTCATGTAATTTGCTTAGTGCACCTATATAATGCTTAATAAATTCAGCATTCACTGTCCCCTAGTGTGTGGCTGGATACAATGGTGAATTAAGGCAGTTCCTGTCCCATGGAATCATCATGCTGATAAATATATTATCATGAACTTTAATAAGCAATATTAAAATTGTATAACCTAGTCTTAGAATGATCAAGGAAGGTACGGTAATCGTTAATTAGATTCTCAGGGTCACACAAAAGTAAACTAATATAGAACATTTTGCAGGATATTAATTTGAATTTGAGTCTTCCATTAAGAAAATTTTAAGGATTAAAAGTCGGTAAGGAAATGGACCCTACAATTAGTGTTTCTGCAATCCCATACATAATTAAGCACTACTACAAAATAAATCAGCTTATTTTACAAAAAATCATGAATATAGATTTATGACTATTATTCTTTTGTAAAATTGAATAATAAAAAATTATAAAGTAAGATGGTTAAGATAATGGGAAATAAACAAGCCAAGACAAGTACAAGTACAATCATTAAAAATGACTCCAGCTAACTCTCAGCCTTACATTCTCTTTTGGCAAGGTTGACCTGTAACAGTGCAGAGGGGATCAGTCGAGTTTGTGTGATACCAGATTACAGGTTACAAGTTCTTGAGTAGGTCCTTCAACATTTAGTCTCTCTTGATACACCTCAAATATTAGGCTAATGAGTTACACAAAACAGTAACAGCCATAGCCATCATTTACTAGGAGCTTATTATGGGTCAGAAAGTAGCAGTAGTAATCAAATCTTCATTCTTATGTGCTTCAGTTGTTAAGTATCTCCTCCAAAAAAAGCACTTTATTCCAAGTACTCCAACCACATGGTATTTTATATTTTATGTTCCAAAGAAATTCTTGGGCTGAGTTTTTGAAGCACAGAAAGAAAAGCGCAGAAATTTTTGGCCAGAAAATAGTATTACCTTTCCTACCTTCACTAAGGCTAGGTCAGTATTAAAAAACATGAACTGTAAGTAGAAGAAAGTCCAAGTTGTAGAAATTCATTATCTTTACGAATCCTATAAAACAGTTTTCTTTAAAGGAATGGATAGTAATCAGAATGCTCATCAGTAACCTGCTCTGCTTTCTCAAAACAGAAACAAGACATTCTGTAAAGCATTTGCTCTAACAGTGAAGAGAAAACTTGGAACAGAAACACCAATTTTCCTTGCTTGCTGCATCTTTCCAAAACACAAAATATACATAGATGCCTAGTAGTCATCATGTAAGAAGAGGTCAACTTCTCCATGGATTTCTTTTCTCATTCATATTAAAATACCAACAACTCAGCTCTCTTAAATATTTGTACCTATTATTTTAAGTGCACCTGGTATGACAATAATCAAAACATGCCAAACACTAAATAAAGAAAGTCAAGCTGAGGCATCACTAAAAACATCTTTGATTATAACAATTATTTTTCTTCCCTGAAATTCAGTAGTCAGTAAATTTCAGCAGGCACAATTATTTCTATGAAAATCAAAAGTAGTAATGCACATTATTGCTACAAATGTTGTTAGGTGTAATTTGAAAAATATGAGGAAAAACTGAATAAATGACTCAAAAAGTAAGAAAAAATGGAAATGAAACACAGAAACCAGAATAATACACTTGAGAAAAACCCTCTCTTAATAAAACATTTTTCCCCACTATTAGAAGAGGTTTATATGTTAATCTCTGATTGCAAGGATAGGTAATGTTACCTCTAAAATGCATTTGAAAGCACAGCCTTGGTTGAAATGCTGTTCCCAGTCATTAAATTCACTGATGATGAAAAGGACATGAGTGGGGAGGTAAGAAAATAAATAGGTTTCACACAGTGGGCTGACAGGAAAGACAGCAGAGTACTGACAAGTCCGAGGCAGCCTGGATTACCACGGAACACACGGATGCTCTCAAGGACGATAGGGAGGAAGAAGAGCAATGTCACAAATTTATGCATTATTCAACTTTCATCTTAAGGCACTTCTGATTCCACAGTCTCCATCAGAGAGCCTGTCAATCAAAAAGAAGAAAAAGAAAAACCTAACTTCTACTACTACCACCATCTGTAACAGCAAAAATCTGATGGTACTTTGATCATTCATACTCATATTCACAACTTTTGTCAGACTGGATCAATGTGTCTTTTCCATTTTTTGGCTCAACTGATCAAAACCCAGAAACCTTTCCTTTTCAGTTTAGGTATAATTAATCCTTCTCTCTCAGGATTTTTACTTTTCACAGAGCTAATGTGAGTATCAACAGCATATTTTAAATTTAAAAAAGGAAAAAGCAATATAGCTTAACAAAATGTCCTACCTGGTGGTATTTCCTCTTGATCTTCTGAAGGGGACACAAATACTTCTAAAATAAATAATAAAATCACAATCCATTATATATTGCTGACCAGTGTTTCAAACCCACATTGCTGGTATTTAAGTTACGCATATTATTTTTACAGACATTTTGGGAATCGACTGCAATTACCATAAAAAAATAGGTTTTCATACCATCACAACAAAGAATTGGCTAGAGCTTTGCAAAATGTACATTTCTCAGGGTTCTGCACAGTAGACCATATACTATCTGTGCAAACTAACCTCAAAATGCACCTTCCAGCAAAGGAGATCTGAACGAAACCTAATTTTGCTCACCACAATTTTGTACCAGCCTTGATGACAAAGCTGAGAAAAGACATTTAAAGTATCATGTTACTTCTTGAAAAGTTAATTTGTAACCCTCATATAAGCATGAATGAAATAACAAGGAATTAAATTGAAATAGAACCTTGAGAATAAATCACTATCTTTAAGAAAGTTGTTTTTGAAAAATAACACTCAACATATTCTAAGAATCTGAACTTTCTATTCTAAGAATAGCCATATTAATAGTGGATATGAAATTTTTAACATTTTATCTTTCTCCCTGGTTGCTTCAACCCACTTGTTACTAAAGAGATAGCAGACCTCACCTCCCAATGGTAGAATGGTACATTGATCTGATTCACTCTGTAAAATTACATCACCTATTATTATCTTCATAGCTAACAATGCATTTAACATTACCTTAATCTAGTGATAAGATTTTATCAGCTTTCATTTTGCTCTGTAAGATTTGTTAACAGGCTTTGGTCAAAAGAAGGAATTTTTAATAGCATTTTCTAAAACTCAAAATATATATGTGGCCATTTTAATCACTTTTCTTCCTGAATTAATTTGCTTCTAATTATAAGAATGATAGATGCTCAGGGTTTGGACAGAGTTTAACAGAAGTGAAAAGGAAGCAGAAAAAAAAATCATACAATATACCCACCAATCACTGTTAACATTCTGGCACATTTCCTTCTTTAAAAAATTGTGTGTATCATAAAATATGAATCACTCACTTCCATTGTTATTTCCATCACTGATGTTATACTAAGAAATCCTTACTATTATTACAAGACAAATTTTCATCTAATTTTATTCTGGAAAAAATGTGCATTTAAACACCTTATCTGAAATTATTTTGGTAATGATGTAACAAGAGGACTTTTTAAAAGTAAATAGCTAATTAATTATACCAGTACAACCTAAGAGAGTTGCCAAATGATAATGCCGACTTTTTCTTACTGCAGGACTTTCTAACCCTATTTCAATCTGGCTCTCACTCAAATCAATTTACTCAAATAGCTTTAAGCCAAGATCACCAAAAATCTCCACATTGCCAAATGCAATTATACTTCTCAGTTTTGAAATTCCAATGGCAAGAGCATGAAGCACATTCCTTCTTCCCTTATGCCCTTTCACATTCTTCTCTACTGGTTTTCCTCTTGCCTCACTGGTTGTTCATGCTCCTCCAGACCTCACAGTGTTGGGATTCCTTAAAGCTCAGTCCTGGGGTTGCTTACCTGGGCTCTCTGTGCCACCTCCAAAATGACCTTACCTGCTTCCACACAATTAATACCATGTTCATGATGATGACTTTCAAACTTTTATATCCATCTAAGATCTCATCCATCTAGTTCAGATAGGCATATCCAAACTCCCTACTTGATACCGTCAATGGTATATCACATAACTCCCAAACTTAAAATATCTAACATGGAGCCTTTGATTTTTCTTCCCTAAGACAGTTTTTCTACATCTTAGTTTTCTTCTCAGTAAATGGGCCCATCATCTAACAGTTATTCAAACCAAATCAAAGGCTCCCTTCATTCTTCTTTACTTCACAACCATTAGAAAGTTCCATCAGTTGTAATTCTGAAATATATCTCAGGCTCAAAACTTTCCTCTCCGTTTTCATTGCTATGATCTTACTCCAGGCCACTATGACCACTTCCCTGGATTAATACCATTAATTCTCTAACAAGGTGGTCCCCGCTTCCATTCGTGCTCCATCCAATCTATTCTCTAACGAGGAGTGGAAATAACTCTTTAAAACATAAATCAGATTATACCATAGCTCACTTAAGTATTTCCATACATTCTTACTGCACTTAGAATATAATTCAAATTCCTCACTAGATTCTTCAAGGCCTCAACTGACTGGTCTTCTGTCTCTTTATTGCGTAAGCCAATTCAGGTTCAGGTTTCTGTTACCTACAACACAAATTAACCTTACTGACATAGATAGGAAAGGACAGCAGAGTTTAAGTACAGGGTTTCTGTAGCCAGATCTGTACTTTTCAACAGATCATCCTACCAACATTGCTTCAGATGGATTTGAAGGGGACGAGTATGGAATTAATAAGACTGGGTAGAAGGCTACTGCCATGGTCTAGGAAGATGAGTGGCTGAACTAGATCACCAAAGCTACAAAGAATGGCTTTGAGACATGTCTAGGGAGCCTATTCTACAGGACTTAGAATTAACTACAGAGACAGGAGAGGAGGACTCAATGACAACTCCTGGTTTGGGAATCCAAGGACATAGTGATGCAACCAGACAAGACAGGAGACGCAGGGGAAAGAGGCCATTGGCAGGCATGTGAAAATGATGCGTTTCTGCTCACTGTCCACTTTGGGAGCTGAAGGAGCACAGAAACAGCAGGCTGGGCTAAAGGAGCACAGTCCGGAGCCCCACAGCCCATCAGAGGTTCCCTTAGAAGTCTCTGCTATGTCCTCTACTGACTTAGAAGTCTCTGCTATATCAAAATGCCTGCAAAGTTTTAGGAAAAGCTATTTCTAATAGGGAAAGGCTGGGCCAAGTTGTGTATATAATGTCATGTCTTCTATATAAAACAATGTATGTGGGGTGGGTTAGACGAAGTTCTTTCTAGGGATCATGGGTTTCCATTTTCTGATTATAACTGTATAAAAACAGACTCAGATATGGTCTTCACAGAGAACTGAGTAATAAGTGGTAGGAGAAAATCTGAACTCAATCTTGCCTGCTACCTGGTAATGAAACTGCTGTACACTGTGGTCCCAAAGGACCTGTACAGGGGGTCTCTCCCGGCAGCTTAGTGGACAGCAAGGCCAATTACAGTATCCCTCATTCCCTCCACCTTCCCTATCTCTTCCCATTTCAGTCAATTGTACTATTATCTATTCTGCCTGACCAAGCTCAAAAGCAGTAACATTTCATCTGACAACCGACAATTAGCAGCTCATAAATGAATTCTCCAAGTAATTCTATTAGCCAAATTCCCCTTTACATGTTCCTTGTGGCAACCTGCTGTTGTTAAAGCACATGGACCAGAGTCAACTGCAGGCCCTGAACCTGGGTTAGACCAGCTTAGGCACGTTTAGCCTGTAACCTGGACCCAGGTACTTGGCCTCCTTCTGGCTTCAGTTCTCCTATTGTAAAATGTGCAGTGATGGTTGCCCCACCTCTTTCTCTAGTGCCTATGGTGAGGAAGGCCTGACATACCCTTTGTGAAAGAACTTTGCAAACTGTTAGAAACTATATAAACCGAAGTTGTGTCAAAGCACCACTATGAAATATATGCACCATTTTTTTTCCCAGAAACCAACTCTTCACTTCCAAAACTTTTTTTTCAGCTGAAAAACAACATAAAGGACCCAATTTCAATTCATCACTGCCCAGTGCATCCTACTCACAAAATCACATTGCCCTATTTAGAGCAGCCCTCCTCACTCTAACAAGTTATTTTCTTTTATATTGTTTGAGAAAAAGCTTATGTGAACTTTCTATCCCTTCAATTTCTGATGGTTCATATGCCATAAAAGACACAGAAACAATAGTCCTTTAGCACTGCATAATTCACTGTAACACAACATTGGCTGTAGAGTTCAAGGACTATGTCTAACTTATCCTTGAGCCTCTGGGGTTAGGTGTCTGGGAAACGCCAGCCACAGATCGGTGGCAGAGTCTGGGCTGGAGTGAAACAAGCCTGGGTTCAAATCCCAGGTCAGCCATGTTTTAGCCACAGGAGGTGGCCAGTTCTGTATGCTCCCTTCCTGTAAAATGTGACAAATCAAGGTTCCTTCTCAATCACTTGCTACCAGGATCCAATAATTTGTTTACTACAGGGTGATGCTTAATTCTCCTTTTTAATTGCTTCACGTCTGTGGTGGAGCCTCTGCCCTGCTTATCAGCCTGGACCTAAGCTTCCACAAGGCTGGTTCTCTACTTTGTTTAGAGAAAGATACTCAGGTCTTTCTCCAGGCGGCACTTTGCAGAGTGAGGGTCCAGCTGCAAGGCCCTCATTCTGTTACTCTAACCACAGGCCTGTGCCCATTTCTCGCCTCGTGTCCTTGCATGGGCCCAGTGCTGCCTTGCTCTGCTGGACAGAGGTTCTGGTCTCTGCAACAGCCTCCTCTCTTGCTCATGGGCATTATGGGATTCTTACCAACTTGATTCCCACTTTTTCCATTTTTCAAAATGCCTCAAATTTTCTGGAACACTAAGAATAAACTTTATTTTCATAGCACAGTTATGTTCTTTTTGTTCATTTAATAAAGAAAAACGTTTTGAGCACTTACTGTGGCTCAGATATTCATCTCAGTGCTGAGATAGAACAAGGGACAATTTTTAATAATGTTTTCTTTTTGGCGGCATTTGTAAAATGAAGCAGCACTGACTGTGTGCTCACTCTGTCACCCTGAACATGGTAGCATTTAATATGCTCAAGTTCCTACCAACTCAAGACAAATCCTGTTCTGGGGACTGCTTCTTCGTGGCTTCTCCTTCCTCCATTCCACAATCTAATTTCTTTGAAGAGTCATTCATGTTTGCTGCCTCATCTCCTCACTTTGTCCCTCCACCCGCTCCAAATTGCCCTGCAGCCAATGCCACAGCCCTGGGCTCCTCCCCTCAGACCTTCCATGAGACCTCCTCATTCAGCCTAAGGGACACTTCCTGCCCTCACCACCCCAGACCTCCTGCAGCAACTTCCTTCACAAACCCCTCTGCCCTTGGACTTCAGTGTGACCGTGTTCTCCCTTTACCCTCTCATTTGTCCTTCTCAGGCTTCTTTACAACTTCATCCTTTTCTACCCAGGCCTTAAAAGTTGGATTTCATCGAAGTGTAGCCACAGACCCATGTCTCTTCCCACTCTACCCCTTGGCCTTGGCTTCAGTCACCATGACATACTGATTCTCAAACTCAGAGCCCCAAATCATACCTCTCTTCTGAGAGTCACACACCATTAACCAGCTTATTTGACAGCTCCCCTTGGATGTTCTACAAGCACTGTCAACATGTACACACTGGACTCATGACCTCCACCCCCAGCTCCTGTTTTCCAGTCTTGCCTTATCTTCCTGTCTTAGAAAAACAGAGCCGCTATCCATCAAGTGCATAATCTAGGTCTGGGGACGAGGTTCTCAACACCCAACTCTCTCTGCCCTGCTACACCCACACATGAAGGCCTGTCAGTTTTATCTTCTTGTATTTCTCAGCTTGGTCCACTTCCCTGCACCTTCGCGGCCACCACCCTGTTTCACTCTGTCCAGTGAAAACAATTCTTTCCAAGGTCACCGGCGAGGCCAGTGTTGCACTAGACAGAATGGGTGCTTGGTGGACCTTCAGAGGAACATCCCCTTTTGAAACTGATCTCCGACTACTCACTTGGCAGAGGTGGGATCAGGGCACGATGAGGTATGGATAACTGCAGGAACCTAACTGGTCTCCCCAAATCTGCTCTTGTCTCTCTCCAGGTTATTTGCTACATGTTAGGCCAATCAGCCATTAGAACACACAGATCTGACTTTGTAGTGCCTTAAACAATGCTCTAAGGTGAAGATGAACATCCTTGACCCGCCTACAGGCCTCCTTCCAACCTGGCATTTCAGTCACATCCCACATCTCTCCTCCTGCTCAGCACTGCAGACACACCTGCCCACCCCAGAGGCCTCACACTACGATCCAGCCACCTTTCTCCTGGCCCCACCAATTGTTCTAATCTTCAGCTCAAACTTCAGGAAAGCCTTCTCTAGTCCACAAACCAGGTAAGGTCTCTTTACTATATACTCTTGCTCTATACTGTACTGGTTCTCACTAGCACTTAGCACAAATGTAGTTGAATACTATATTGAAATTATTTGTGTAATTTCTACCCCTGTTAAAATATAAGATCCATGGGAATATGGACCACATGTGCGGTCTTCACTAGAACTGCTCCAATACATGTTTTGGATACAAGATATTTAACATGTACTCAGTACATGAATAAATAAATCAATTATATAGTAAGATAGCACTGTCATGTCCCAGGTATACACAAATGAGGCTTGATGATTTCTAGGATATTGTTTATGTGGAAAGGTGGTTCCTTTAGTAAGCCACATGGGGAATTTAATATAGAATATATTCCTTTCTCCCACTGAAAAATGGGTTTTCATTTTATTTACAGCTTCACTTATATACAGTCACTTGGCTTCCCTAGTGTGACTCCTGAATTCCACAAAGTATCCTTTTAGCACATAGTGAATAATCCTCTGTTCTCTTAGAATTGTTTTGTTTGAAAAAATTCATGTTCTATAGAATGGTAATCCAAAGGATCATACCAAATCTTGATCCCTTAGATCATAATTATTACTCTTGGTTAACATTTAATATTTTAATTTATATTTATTATGATAGTCTCCCTATGAAAATACATTTACCTTTACAACATCATTTTTAGCATGGTATCTAATTTGACACTTCCTTCAAGTTTGATTTTAAAGTTCTCTAGATCTATTCTGAACATTCCATTCCAAACATGTGCTTTCCAATATATTTAGAAAAATACTATAATGACCAACAGAAATTAGAAATCTCTCAAATCCCACTTGTACATGCAACTTTTAATTTCTAAATTCCTATTTTCTCCTTAAAATTCAAGTGAAAAGAAAATCTAAATGCAATCTTAATGGCCAAGTTAATCAATTTCTTATAAGAAATATTAATCCCCAGAGATAAAATCCAGGGTTCTTCCAATGGCATAATCCATATCCCACTAGAAATAGCCACTGGGGATGGTGATCTTGGTAGGGTCTCAAATCTAAAATATATATGCTTAATAAACTACCTATCAGGTCCATACATTGCCATTCCTAATTTTCTTCTGTTGAGATTTGTCAACTACTATAAGACTATAAATTTCTGGGGAGTAGGAACTCTATATTACTCATACTTGAATGTCAAGTCCTCAAGCATCTAGCAAACCATCTAGAGAGTCCTCCCTATCTGACTCAAGCACTGTGCATTTCTTCATCCTTCTTGTTCCACACACAAAATTACACCCAACTGACTTCTTTCCTTCTACACAGTCATCTTTTAATATATTGAATAAAAAGGTACACCGTTGACTCTACCATTTCTTAGTCATATGAACTTATACAAATTTACAAATTATTGATTTATTCTGGACCTTATTTCTCTCATTTGGGACATAGTGAAAATACAATCTACTTCATGGAGTTTAATAGAACAGCACAAGAAGTCCTTGGGCAAAAAAAGAAGCTGTAATTTTCTAAATCTGAATCTAGTTCCACTCACGCCGCCCAAGTGCCAGAACCCTTTTCCCTACACTGCCTTTAAGCCTGCATAGAAATTCTTCTGTACCTTTCTCCAAGCTGGCAGATCAATCACTTTTATTTTAAAGAATGGGATTAATCTGTAGAAGCAGTTAGAATAAACTTTGACTGAAGTAGTTTTCCAAGCACAAGACATATTTTAGTCAAAAGAAGGCTATGGCTATAAAGTAATGAGATATTTTCTTGAATAAGTTTAGACTGTTTTCTAAGGCAACCTGCAAAGAGTTTAAGATATCATTTAGGTAATGATGGAACCACTGGACTAGATAAACCACCTCCCTCAGTAAATTCTTTGAAAATTACAATTATTTGGATGTTTTAAGTTATGCTATTGGCAGCTTAAAATATTATTCTCTATACAGTCAAACTATGAGTAGATTTTAAAACAAGTAGGCAGGTATAAGGTTAAGAAGCATTTGCAAACCTTGTTCATTATAGTCTTGGTATGTTACGTCATCTGCAAAAAAGAGAATAAAACCAAAATAAGTGGTAAATGAATCATTCTGTGTAACTGCTTAGCTAAATAATACAACTTAATCTCAAATACAGAATTCCATTCCTTTCAATAGTAATGTCTGCACAGCCCATGAGAAATGCCTCTGCCCAAAACAGCTAGAGGAAAAGGCCAGTAGATTATTTCCATAAAAGCTCCTCAAACCAGCATAGAGCAAGATATGCAAAAGCGGCATTAGAAATTAATACCCTGTCTCATTGTGGAGCTGGTAGTAGATGAGGCAAAATATGACAGTCTTATATTCTTTTAATAATCTAATTTCATTACAAAGCAAAAGTCTAGTATTAGGTGTGTTACAATTACTTCTTTGACTCCTACAGTCAAAGAAAAATTGCCATGTTAACATATCATTCCAACAAAAAGTATTAAGTAATATTTAAGACCTAAAGAAAATGTCCAGTTATACCTGCCACATGGTACATTCTTTCATCATCGTCTGCTACTGGTTCAACAGAATCTAAGGGGAATAAAAAAATACACTTTAGCCAAACACGAAAAAATTAAACACATTACTAGAAAACAGCACTCTGCAACATTTACAAATCAATTTTAATCTTCACAACAATGTAAAATGTTATCATTTAATAAAATATCAGTGCAATAAAGATCCATAATTTGCTAAGTCTCAAAGATAGGAAAGGGGCAGAACTAGGATTTACACCCAGTCTGATACTATATGTCAGACAGCCTCGTTCATTTCCAAACATTCTTGCCATTATCTCATCTACAAAGACCAAAACCCCAATGGTGGTTTAAAAAATACATCTCAATTTTCCCTCATTTTTTCTATGTAATATTAAACTATATTCAGAAATGTCTATAAATACCTAGGCAATCCAAAAATCATTATGAGCATTCTAAAGAATACTCTGTGTTGAGTCAGAACATATCACTGACCCTGGGTTAAAACAGCCTTGGCTACTGACTCAAACAGAAACATTTGTCACAAACCTGGACTCTCCTGCTCATACACCATCTCTTCCTCATCCTGATTATTGGCCTGTGAAGCTAAGTTAGGAAATAATTAGGAAATTGCAAATATGTCTCAAATAAGAAGGATTACACTTGATGTTCAAAATAGGAAAAGCATAATTCCTAGCAATAATAGAAATGTAAAATAAAATCATGATGCTCAAACTCACATTCACTCATGAAACAGATACTACCTGTGCTAAATGCCAAATACAAAGATAAATAAATCCCCTTATCAATGGATTTATATCAAATCACAAAGAACTATATTCTCAATTAGCTTATGTGAATTCAACTGTATTCAGCAAAACAATAAAAGAGAGAGAGAGAGACAGATGAGCCACTTCCATCCACTCAGCAATCACCTGCTAGAGTAAGCCTGAGCAAGGACACAGAGGCCTTCACTTGGTCTCAATACCTGAGAACTCCCAGACTGCAATACAATTCTAGCATTTACATATATAACACAGTGTTGAGATGACACAGGTCTTAACTGTCAGCCAGTATCACTGGGACTCAAGCAAAGGAAGAGGATCTATTCAACAATGGAAAAAAAACTGGCCAACAATACAGGCTTACTGAAAGATGACATGTCCACTTGCAGAGTGGCCGTATCTTCTGGGGATGCGTGACATGTGACAGACAATACAAAATTTTCACCTTTCACTGACTTTGTAATTTAAGACTACAAAATATGCAATTCAACTCTATCTTTGACCTAGTAATCCCACTCTGGGAATTTATCCTTAGGGATAAATGTTATAGTATGTAGCATATACAAGTATATTTTATATATAAAATAACAATTATTAACTATATATTATATATGTTTAGTATATTAGAAAACATATCATTAATAAAACAGATAATATTTTATTAATAAATAATCACAGGTAATGTTTTCTCACTCATCATGTTTTTAAAGGAAAAGATTCATTCTAATGGAAAAAGGGAAGCATTAATTAAAATCTTACCAGTCTCTTCTACAGGGTAAGTATCTTCAGTTTCTGAAAAAAAATAGCAATATATCAATATTACTACTTTCATAAAATGGTATGTATATTACTGTGTAAGTATATTCTGAATGTATGCTTATCACTGATTTTTTGAAAGCAAACAACCGTTAGAACATGAAAACATCAAATGTCTGCTAAACACTTTCTATTTCATTAGAACTACACCTAGAAATGTCTCACACATTCTTTTATCTGATTTACGAACACCATAACCTGGGCTAAAGAGCATGACTTAGACGAAGTACCAGTTACAAAGACTGGACCCAGGAAAGGGGCTGATTTCTAGTTTACTCTACAAGCCACTATGGTGTTCCACTTTCTAAAGCAAAAGTACACTCTACAGATGGGAACACACAGGAAGAACAGAGGAGACTTTCTAAGTCTGGGGAGCTGAAGGGTAACTATGTTGGTGATGCAACCCACATACCCCTGATAGAAACTGCTACCACCACAGGATCCTTGCCACTCACGCGATCCTTGTTACTCTGATAGCTAAATGAAGTGGACATATTTTTAATTTCTGAAAACTTTAAATAAGCAACTTTTAAGTTTAAACTGAACTTATGTCCCAATTAAAGATTAGGTCAGAAATAAAGCACCTTCATTCATGAACTTTTTTGTAAATGTTTTTTCTTACTCCAGTCTATAATTCCTAACCTCAAGAATATCAAATTCCTTATGTTCTGGATTATTTGAGCATCTTAACTGAAATCTGTTGTATAAGCAGCATCTAAGATACCAAAATTCTGAGCTACTGTCAATCTTCCTGAGCTATCTTAGCAGAAGATGGGAGGGAGCAAGAGGTACCAGGCAAATATGGACATCATTTTATCAGCTTCCCTATTCAGAAATTAGAAACACTTTTCCCCATAGAAATCATGACATACATGCTAACTAAAGGTCTAAAATGCTAAAGCTTGTTTATAAATGCCTATTTTCAATGTGCATTGTAGTTGAAAGCATATACCAAAAGCATTTTGAGTTTACATTTTTCACAGAAAATTATGCATTAATACAATTCTGCAGGTTGTTATGGAAACCAAACCATCATTTCTAACATTATTTCTAGGAAGAGTGCATTTCCTGCTCTCAACAGGTATGAATATAAGCTTTTGTAAATACATTCATTCATAAATTAGGAGCTGCCTGCTTCCAAAGTAATTTCCAATATATTAAATATTGTGAGAAGTAGATAACCTTTATCTTTTCATTACTTTACTGCTTTAAAAAAAAGTCCTTGCAAGCATTAACCAACTGTACTGTGTAGAGGCTACCTCTCCACTCAGTTTTCACCTGGCAAGTCCTCTAGCGCTCTGCCTGATTCCCACTGGCTATGAGCATAGATGTTCAAGCCTTAACCTGGTTCATACACAGCAGAGTAGGATGTGAGGTGAGGCACATGAAAAAACAAACTGCATAGCCACACTTTTGCTCCACCCTGGCTGCACTTTAACATCATCTAGAGAGCTTTTGCAATTATCCATTATGGGGATCCCTTACCCCAAACATTCTGATTTGCTTTGTCTAGGGGTGGGTTACAGATACTCTTTTAAAAGCTTTCTAAGTGATGATAATTGCAACCATAATTGAAAACTGTTTGTAGAGATATTAGTCCACCTTAGTGGACCTTGTTCATTAAGAAGTTCTCTCTCTGAATCCATGACCCTATGGCTCTAGATCTTCCCACCCTTCCTAGTGCTGTGGATTTATCTACTGCCTGTCTCAGTTCTGCGTTCCTCTCTGAATGCAATTTAGGTTTAGCTAACCCTTGAACCCTGGCTTGTGGCTTGTGGTATCATTTTATTGCATGGGTCCTAAAGCAACTGAACGACAGACTTGACGATTATATGGTTGGACACAATGTGCAACACGGCGAACAGTATGTTGGTGCCATCAATTTTTCCCTATCATAAGCTAGTTTTACCTCTCTTAAGAAATGAAACATCCATCATAAATAAATGTTATGTCATGAGTATTCACTTTAAGTATAAAACTATACCATTTTATAGTTCTATATTTCAAACAAAATGACGTAAGTCAATCAGAGTGCAAAACTTGTGGCTCAAAAATCATTTAAGAACTCCTTAAGGTCTTAAAGGACCACTTTAAGAAAAGAGCAAAGAATAAACACCATGACAACAAAACCCATGTACTTAAAAATGGGCTTCAAATAATCATGGCAGTCTTACATTAAAGCAGAGCACAAAACATGTGAATAAAAAGTTTCACCATCACAGAAATTACTTTTTTATGTCAATCAACAGTAAGTAACTACAACTCTATCTTGACTATCCCACATGATCCAAGGTAAACTACTCAAATGATATTTAAAAACCAGCATTTGATTTAAAATACTGATACAAAGCAGATGCCAGCAAACTATGGTCTGCAGCACAGATAAAGTCTGTTAGAAGAGTCTGTGATGGATCATCAAGTGAAATATTTCATCAGTTGTGTGAACTCCCTTTAATACATGTTACTCCAGGAAGAAGAGGACAATAAAAGTAATGTCCTTAATTATTTTACTTACTTTTCACAAAAGTTAAAAACTGGTTTTAAAGGTGTTTAAGATGATCACAATTACAAACTCTCTATGACATTTTATCCTGAGGCTGAAATATGTGCTGCACCTTCATGAAATGTTCCAGTTCCCTGGGGCTCGGATCCGTCATCCACATCACGTCCTGCAAAGAGCTCGCCATCTTCTGGGTGTGGGTCCTTCACTGGTCCGTCCTCTTCTTGGTGCAGGTCTTCTGCTTGAACAACCATGATGGACACAGTGACCCGGGTCTAGGACAAGGGCCCACAGGTGGCTGCCAACGGGATGTCGGCCCTTCTGAAGGACAGCCACACACCCTCTCCTGCTGCTGGGCACTCCCTGCCCGTCTCTGGGCTGCTGCACGTGCTGCTGCCCACCCGGGAGCTCCAGCCCACCTGAGGGACAGGCCTCTCACCAGAACAAGAACTTACCAAGGACAAGGACCTCAGGTTTTTGTTCACCATGTACGCCCAGCACCAAGCCCATGCCTAGCCACAGGAAGTGCTCAATACATATTTAATAAATAAATGAATCCATAATTATTAATGTATTTGCCTCTTCAATCACCAGTATATCAGAGAAAGGGTTACCACATGACCTTTTACTGAAAACTGACATAAAATTCAAAGGGATAATCTTAATGCTATACAAACACCAACATCTTATTTCTTTGCTATACAAAACATCTTATACTACAAACACCAGCCAGCCACCAATCTAATCCACCTGTTAGGTCACCTGTATTATACTTTGCTCTGAAGGTTGCTAGGTGTACCCTTTAAGGAGGCAAAGGTGCCTGTTTCTCTTCTGAGACTAACTTTCAACACAGACTGAACTGTTCTGCTTCCTTTGTGTAGATGTTGGACATGTTACATTTTCCCACTGCAGTATGGTTTTTAGATCGTCACTGTGGTGGAAACAATTCCCCCAAGAGTAACATGGCTCCAAGCAGAGCATGTCCTGTAGAGAACACTCTAACCAAAGAAATCGGGGGAACTGGACTCAGCTGGATTCTGCAGCACAGTGGTTAAGAGGGTGTAGTCCGAAATGTATGGCTCCAGATTTTGGTTCTTCCACACCAGCTGTGTGACTCTGGGCAAGTTACCTAACTACTCTGGGTGCAAGATTTCTCTGCCATAAAAGGAAGTAATAACAGTTCCTACTCACAGCATCACTGTGAGGATTAAAGTACTTACAAAAATGCCTGGCCCATACTAAGTCTTTGGTGTTACTGTTATTATTGTGTATTACGTTTATCAACATCATCACAGTGATAAGAACATTAACTATTGCTATGGCTACTGAGCTCCCACCCCAAATGCAAGAGTTACATTACTTAGTTTACTTAGTTTCCTCACTTATTTACTTACTGTAGCAGGGCATCCTGGTGCTCTCAGGTGTTACTGAATTATTTGGGCCATTTACATTACTACTAATTTGTTCTCTGTCTTCTCATCAGTCTGCCATGTTGTTTCTCCTCAATTCAGATGTTCTGCTTCTCAGCAAACCAATGCTAGTTCTAATTGCTGTCACTAACTTTATGACTCTTTTTCTTCTTACCATAATCCTTTTCCTGTACTCTCATAGTCTCAAGTGCAATTGTTTTTTACAGAAACAGGACTAACTCTCTTAGCCATCACTACTGAATGGAAAGTCCCTGTTTTCAGGAGGGAAACCAGCCAAAAGTTGTGCACTATATGTGAGTCTCCACTGCTAAGCCAGTGACAGCATGGTATGGAACAAACAGTTTTCCTGAGAGCTTAGTATACTGGAGGCATTGCCAAGTCCTCAACAGCCATTAAACCAGTCCTACAAGGTAGGTACTGTTATCCCACTTTGAAGGATGAGGAGCTTGAGTACCTTTGCTAAAGCCACCTAACTAATAATTGGCTGCTGCAAGACCAGACTCCCACAGTGGAATACAGAATGACGGGGACAGAGGCTGCTTTAGAGATGATGGTCAGGGAGGCATGTTTGGTCTAATGGGATATGGAGACTGGCACACACACACACCAGCCCACGGTCTAAGTGCAAAGGCCCCGGGGCAGGGAGAGGCCTAGCAACGACACGGGAAAGAGAGGCCAGCTGGGCTACAGAAAAGTGAATGAGGGAAGGAGACTGGGCTCAGATAAGGCACCACGGGGGAGGTCACATCAATCACAGACTCTAGCTGGACACTACTGCAGGGGTCCTGTCAAGAGGGGAAGGTAACACTGGCACACTGCACAGTCACGATACATGCTGGAGGCAATGCCAACAAGACCTGCTGACGGACTACATATGAAGACAGAAGAGAAATCAAGGAAAACTCCCAGGTTTCTGACTTAGGCAACTACAGGGACAAGGAGACATTACCCAAAATATAAAAGACTGAAATAAGAGAGAGAAAAGAAAAACTGTGTCAGGGAAAGATGTGAGATGAAGAAAAGTCAAGAATTCTGTTTTAGGTACACTTTAGTCTGAGATACCCATAAAACATGCAAATAGAGTTAGCTATGCAGTTGAATAAACCAGGAACTTATGAGATCAGGGCTGCAGACATACATTCAGAAGCAATACAAACATTTAAAGCCATGACCAATATGATTTTCTAAGAAGAAAGTCTTGATAATGAAGAGAACAGGTACAAAATGAAGGTTTATGGTGAGAAACAGAAGCTAGACTTGATTCCTCCCTCTTCTATCTGGCTTCCTACTGCACCCACCAATATGTCTGTATCTTCCCACTGTCCTGCCTCCCCACCTTTGGCTGCATTTAGTTTGGCCACCACCTTGACTCACTTGGGGATCCTATCTCCCATCTGACCTGCCTGCAGCACATGCCCTTCGACTCTGCTTCCAGGCTGCACAACCCTTCTTACACCCTCCAAAGGCCTCAAATACTCTGAGAAGCAAGTGAAAATATCTTTCCATCACCCCTCTACCTACATACTCCTCATGCCAGGTGCCTTGAACTACCTTCCAATCCTTTTTGCCTCTGGACTGCCACACATTCCCTGCCCTTTGCTTAAAACACTCCACCAGTCACATCTGCCTGGCAGAACTCTGCCCTTCAGCTACTAAATCAAAATATCATTTCCTCCAGGGACCTCTGCCAGCCCCAAGGTGTGATCAAGCCCCAAGAGCACTGGTGTTTCACACCACAACACTTAGCTTATCATACAGAAATGACTCATGTAGACTGCATCATCTCCAGTTAGATTAAAGTTAAAAGAAAAACAAAAGAAGACGAAGGGAAAGTCTGCACTTGCTCATACAGGCACACAGATACACGTGCAAGCAAAGAAGCCTTCCCATCTGGGAAGAACTGGTCGTGAAAGGACCAGGCTCCTAGAACCCTGGCAGCTGATGGCAAAGACCTCCGACTCAGCCAAAGCTGGTCCCCAAAGCCGAGCACAGATGGAGCTAGATAGGATGCTTTACCCTTAATCCCCAAACAATGAAAACTGAAAAGACAGCTTAGTGGGCTTGCTAAAGCCCAATTTAAGTGATAGGGAACTGTTTGCTCTTAAGAGACATATTTCTTCCTTTAGCACTACTTCCAGCTCACACCAAATCATTAGGAGTACCAGGATACCATCTGCTCTGCCTCCTTCAAAAACCCTTTGTGAGTTACATTTTGGGGTTATACTCTCTGCTCTTGTCAGGGGATATATCAGGAAATAGTCTTATAAAATCTTAAAACATTGGTTTCTAAAGTATCATTTAATATTCTCTGTAAATAATTTCACATAAGAACATTTTTATTCATAAGAGCTGGGAAAGTGCTTTACATTCTGTAAGTAAACAGCATGTTTATTTCCTCTCTGGTAATATGACCTACATAAGTAAGTTTCTCCTTTTTCGCCTTGGCGACCACCCAGGCATGCCATGAAGTTTGTGGGCGACCAGAGCGCCCACTGCTGCTCGCTTGGCTGTGCTCTATTTTCCTCCTGCCTGTTCTTGCCATCTGTTCTTGATGTGTCATTGGTCTTGGTTTCTTTATTCTCATTTATTCCTACCATTCCTTTATTAGATGTATACAATAAGTTCCACAACAGTAAACTGACATAAAATAAAATTAGTCTAGTACTAAATTAGTCTAGAGCTTAGAGCTACTGCAAGAAACACTTGACCTCTAAGGACTTTATAAAAAGCCCCTCAATTATTTAAATTGTAAAATAATGTATAAGTATTTTTTGTTTGTAATTAATCATTATTTTAGTAATGCAGTAAAAAAATGGATTTTAATTCATACCATATTCTGCGTATACTGTGTCATGGAGAAGGGAATGAATTTGTTCTTGTACATCATCTTCAATATTCTGCGGGCCTAAAATAATCACAAAACATAACTAAGTAGACAAAATCTAGACATTGATGTAGAACATGAAATATGGCATCCCTGTATAACTTTCAACTAAATATATTTGACTAATCAACTATGCTGTCTTTTCACAACAGTTTACCACTTTTTCCTATGTTGGCAAATTTGGTAGATATTTGCCAGCAGATATATATTTAAAAGCAGATTTTGACAGCAGATATAAATGTTTAAAAGACTTTTCCACAAGACTTTTTAAAAAGAAACTAATTTGGGTTCAGATTTCTCTTTTACAAAAACAACAAACCTCACTTGGAGCAAAATTACTGCAGTTTCTAATTAACAAAATTCATACTAACGATAAAATAAAGAAAATGGAAAGGACAAAGATTTCAGAAAGGGAACTACAGGGAAATAAAATATGGAAGACAAGATCAAGATACACTAGAGTGTATGGTCAACCCACTGTCTTCCCTGAGAGTTAGCAGAAAAGATCCCCTGGCTGGTGTGAGCGTTGGCTCATCACTCCTAGAAGTTGTCAGGAAGTGTGAGTAAAAGACCTTACATTATAACTGACAATCCTTTCTACTTTGGAGAACTTACTTACCAATCAGACCCACAGTCAAATAGATGTAAATTACCAAAGTGAACATCACTGATGACATCCCACCAGCACTATTGTGTTTATCGGATCATCAGGTTTATTGCACCACGGCACAACAAACAAGAAGCTATAATTACATTGACACTATTATATGTTTTCTAATAAACCTCATCTATGTTCAGTAAATAGAAGTAGCACTAGACTTAGAATCATGAATGCTGTCACATTCATTATTCAGAAATAATGCCAATGACATCAGTTATATTGACAAGCTAATCTTCAATGACAAAAGCAGAGTAAGTTAATTTGACTTCAAGTAGGAAAAATGTTGAAGAATCTTAACCATACAAAACCATTTACAAAGCCAGAAAGTACCTTCTATTTATACAGATGTTTATATTCCATGAGCCATTTTGAAGTATATTCTCATATAATTACAGAGAAGCCTGCCAGTCTCAATTCTTCCCTCATCACCTTTTGCAATGCCCAGGATAGCATCTAAACTAGGTTCCCAGTTTTACAACTGCAGACAACTCCACCTACTAAGTATAGTGTAAGTAGCCAGAAGTGGAGGGTGGTGCTCTGATCCTTTGTTTTACTCTGCAATGGCTTATTTTGCCTGAACAAATAAAAACCTAAGCCCCTGGGAACAGAAAACTGCCACTATCCAGCCCTCAAATGCTTCTCCAGAATCATCTGCTACCAGCACTGGTGCACATACTGTAAGAACTTGGTATGTGCACCATGCTGTTATCTTTCCATGGGTCTGTGTTGCTCCTCCTTGCCCCCAGGGAGGTTGGGTAGAGGCAGAAGCCAGACTAATTAATGAGAGTTAAAGAATGAGTGGAAAACAGGGCAAAAAAAGCAAAAGTCTGTATAGTACAACAAGAAGAGGGGCTGGAGGGCAGAGAGGAAGAACTGCAGGGGTCAAGAGGGGTTCTATTTTACTGGATTTTAATGAGAGGCATGTACCTGTGTTTATAGAATAGGTGGGTAAGTCAGAGAAGAGAAACTAAAGACCTAGGTAAGAGGAAGGTTGAGAAGGCAACTAACTAAACCAAATACTGTCTAGAAGTTGAAAAGGATATGAGTTTATAATAAACTGATGGATTCAGGAAGACAAATTATCACTAATATGTAAAAAGTAATGTTAACAAAAATTTTTAAAGAGTAAAGTGGAAGCAAAAACCACATTTCAGAGTGGTACTAGCTTTGAAAAAGATGATTTTTAATTATAAATTAATTTAGTAAAATTTTTATATTCATTTAGTAAATGAAATGTTAGTAAAGCTTATAAAGTCTGTAGTGCTAAATACAACCACACATTTAAATTATTAAAAAAAAATCATCCTCTTCTGGTGCCATGGTATGATTATAGTGGTTCTCCAGGAACGGGAGAGAGACAGTAAATTCTCTGGGGAATATGATTTGAACAAATTAAAAAAGTCAGAGCAACATACTGATTAAAAGGAAGGAAGGAAAATCATATATATTCATCAGTACACAGTGATGAAGTCAGCCAAAAAGTAACATTAGGACCCAGTACTTGAGCTGTTGCCAGTGAATGTGTCATGTTATACCTAACACTTCCAGTAGGTGGCGGATGAAACCAAATTTTTGAGAACAAATGAGTAAATGAAAAATGTGTAGAAATTAAATAGCACTTTGTAATAAATATCACAGCATAATTTTAAATAGCAATGATTTAAATTTCATTTACCAATTTATTAAATATTTCAGCAGTTTTCATCCTCTGGGTCACAGGCCCTTGAGTGACTGAGATACTTTATCTATGAATTTATGTGGCTATTAAAACGGCTTCACAGATAATCACATGGGGGTCTGGGAAGTCTTGATGTAGAAAGGTGACTCACATATAGCAAATATTGGGAATCCAGTACACCTACTCTCTTAAATAGTGTGACAAACGATAACAAAACTAGTGTACAGTAAGTGTCTAACTTTATTTTCAATGTATCATGGTACTAAGTCGTCCAGGAACTGGAATCAAGAAACAGTTATTTAGTTCCCGATATTCCTAACTGTGTGATCTTAGGAAAGGAGCAACCTGTGCCTTTGATTATTGATCTCAAAAATTAAAATTATCCTGTGTATACTTTTACTAGATTAAAAAAATCAAGTTTACTGTAAAATTTCTAAAATGAGAAGAAAAAAGTATTTAATTATTCTGTAAGCACCATGAAGCCAACTACGTTGGTAAAACATGATTCTGGCAACTGCAAACTGGGATACCTGGCACGCTGAGGCACATCCAGTCAGAAGTAAGGAAACCTTACCTGTCCCCTCGGGGGCCCGGTCCTCCAGCCAGGGGTATGGCCCATCCTCTTCTGGTGGCACTGCTGGCTTTGAAGCAGATCTTTCTTTAAGGCCTGCATTTTTATTCACAAAGTTAACTTAAGTTTTTTTCTTTTCTTCTTGACATATTAAACCAGGAAAAATAATATTTCTAACACTTCATCAATAGTGCAAGTACTTCAGAGTTTCCAAGACTTTATACTACATGAAAAGGTTGATATGCTTAAAAACTGAATTAGGAAAATAGTTTGCTCTTTAACTTCACATGGGCCTTTAACATCTCTTTACCTAAGTTCACCTTTCATAAAAAATAATAAAACAAAATCATTGTTTCAATGTCCTTGAGTCTCTAAAATAAAAAGTTACGTCTGAACTTGCAAAAGAAGTTCAGTGTAAGTTCAAGCTGCTCTTGTGTTCAGAGGTGACTAATTCCCACGTCTTGGACTGAATTCAGCAGTAAGGCAATTAAGATACATCTGAACCTTCTGGTACTTCTGCGCACACCCTATTTTGGTTTATATATGACCACTAATTCCTCTTGAAAACTACAGTTAAAAATGAGAGGAAATCACACATAACTATTTCCAATCTTCTAAAGGTAACACAAGCAATCATATTACTCTATAAGAGCTACAAGTTATGAGAAAAAGGTTTTTTTCTATGTCTAAGGAAAACAAAACATCAGGGTAAATTAACATGAAAGCTACCTTAAAGTCAACATCAGTCTAAAACCTATTATACTAGTTCTTTGACATTTTATACGTAGAACATTAAAATACATCCTCAACTAAATTCAACTATTTAGAAAGCTAACCTAGATTCAAGTGTTTGTCAATTCCATTTGCCAAATCCTGGGCTCCTCACAACCCCATTGAGAATCCTGTGCGGACAGTTGTAATTGAAGGAAGTGTGTGTGCATTTCAACAGCCTGGAGTAAAACGGTCAAGAAAGAATCCAGAGGTGCTGCTTCTATTCTTTAAGCAGCTGTACACAACTCACAAAATACATAACTACTGTGATCTGGAAGATCCTCACTTCAATGTACTTTACTCCTTTTTCGATCCTTTATATTTTTCCTTATCATTCCCTTTTCTGTATCTCTTCCATTTTCTCTCATTGACAAAACCATTCTCCCACCTTCCTCTCTCAAATCCTCAAGACACTGAGACAGAGATACACAGGAGCCCACCTCATCATTTGTATTTCCTCTAGTTATTTTTCACACTATTATATATAAAAAAAACAACACTAGTAAGACAAATACCAATGCATACACTTGTGTTTAACTAACTATAAAGTGACATCTAACTATAATACAGATTCCAAAGTGTGCATACACAAATACCCATAGATATGTAGTTGCATTTCAGAGGTAGAGAGTAGAGATCATTGAACACTATTAAAACACACCACATTTCAAATTCCAAATTCTGGGCTGAAAACTCCCATGCTCTTTTCTATTTAAAGAATCCATTCTTTCCTTGGAATATACCCAAAGAATACAACTTCTCAGATTCAAAAAGACATATGCACCCCTATGTTTATTGCAGCACTTTTTACAATAGCCAAAATATGGAAGCTACCTAAGTGTCCGTCTGTAGATGAATGGATAAAGAAGATGTGGTACATACACACAGTGGAATACTATTCAGCCATAAGAAGAAAACAAATCCTACCATTTGCAACAACATGGATGGAGCTGGAGGACATTATGCTCAGTGAAATAAGCCAGGCGGGGAAAGACAAATGCCAAATGATTTCCCTCATTTGTGGAGTATAACAATGAAGCAAAACTGAAGGAACAAAATGGCAGCAGACTCACAGACTCCAAGAATGAACTAGTGGTTACCAAAGGGAAGGGGTGTGGAAGAGTGGGTGGGGAGAGAGGGAGAAGGGGACTGAGGGGTATTATGTTTAGTACACATGGTGTGTGAGATCACGGGGAGAACAGTGTATCACAGAGAAGGGACATAATGGATCTCTGGCGACTTGCTGCACTAATGGACAGTGACTGCATTGGGGTTTGGGTGGGGACTTGATGGTGTGGGTGAATGTAGTAACCACATTGTTTTTTCATGTGAAACCTTCATAAGAGTATATATCCATCATACTTTAATAAAAAAAATTTAAAAAAGAATCCATTCTTACATCTCCCTACTAATGGGACAGGTACGAAACTATCCATTCTACTGAATGAAAGGAGGAAACCATCAGAATCATGCAATACCTCTGCATTCTCAGCATCTCAGAAAACAGCTGGCACACAGCAGATGCTCAATAAACACTTGTGAAGGGCTGAACACCACAAGAGTGTGGCTACTCTACCAGTTTAAGTGGCTGTAGAGATTTGTCTGCAGCCCCAAGCATCCTCAGCTGCACGAGAGTGGTTCAGAGCTATAAAGGGGTGAAGAGGACTCGCATCCATGCCCGTTATTATTTATAAGGAATTTCACATCTGCGCTTACCATTGTAGTACCATGTATCATTTGCCTGGGGCAGTCCTACTTTGTCATTGTCCTGGGATTTCAAAAGTAGCTGGATGAAAAATTGCAGGAACATTCTTCACAAATCCCATTATGTAGCAGGTTTTCAAACTGTGCTTCATAGGTTCAGTAAACAGTATTTTCCCACCAAACAATAAAGATTTAAACTGCCTGAATATCCTACTCTTCCTGGATTTTGAGAAAAGTTTTATTTGGAAAAAAATCTCAATATTAAAATTGTTTGGAAACTACTAATACTATCCAATATTCAGATATACAATGCCCCTCACAGTCAGATTTTTCTACATCAACTGGGAGTTGTCTCTAAAACTGAAATTGTAAAACATGAAAAACAATGGGAAAAGGGCCAAAGCACATAACAAGAGAAAACAGTTCTCCAACTGAATTGTAAATTCATTGATACCTGGTCACATCTATTTTTCCAGAGGTGAAAACAGCACCAAAATAAACAATATTGTAAATTTCAAAGACACTGAGGATCATATTAAAGTATCTCCTTCCCTAAAACCCTATAAACATTCTAAATTTTAACAAAAACACACTCCAGACTAATTCTTATTGCTTTGATAATCCACATGGAAGAATTAGCCCCACAAGCTTTTATTCTGGTGTTTCAAAAACTTTTTGCTACCCAAATCCATTTTAGCCCATGAATAAGTGTTCCTCAGAAGACAGTGGTAAATCTATGTCTTAAGATTTTAGGTAAAAGTAAATAGAATTAAACAAGAAAAATAAATACACATCAGGTCAACTCACAATCAAGGGACAGGTTTTCAAATTGGATTTATTGACAAATGGCTCGGATGTAACCCTAAAATAAATTAAGAATTGTTATCAATGTTACCAGTTTTGACGTTCCTGGAATACATTATAACTAAACACCAACTGCCACTAACTTGAAGGAGAGGGAAATTTATCATCTAACTTCACAACCAGCATAGAGGCAACCGGCATGATCTCAGCAGGGGCTTCATCCTCAGGCAGCAATCGGAGCTCCTCCAGCTGCAAGCTCCTCTTCCAGAAAGACAATGTCCTGAGCAACGGCCCACCTCTCGCTCTGCTTCTTTACTAAGCTTGAGGAAATTTTTCCTAGAAGCTCTGGGCAGTTCTTTCAGTTGTAATAGTCAAAACCAGAACCTACTTCCACTCCTAAACTGTCAGGAACAGGATAAGCATTAACTGAGAATAGTTATCTAGGGTTGAATGAATGAATGTTGTAAGTCTACCACAACACACCCTAATGATTTGGAAAACCAATCAATTCTCTAAAGCATACCTTATTTTTGGTTCTTATGAAATTTAAAAAAATGGTTGCATTTAACAAACATAGTTTTCCCCCCCAATTTTGATTAAAAATGGGAGATGTTATAAAAAGTAAATAAAATAAGCACTGTAAGTCAACTATTCACAGCAAATTTGATTAACTGACACAATTACCCTAGCTCAGTATTAGCTTACTTCATTTACTACAAGTATGTCTGGCCATAATAGGAAAGATCAATGTATTTTCTTCCTGTAAATGTGTAGCAGGTTAATACTTACCAAATGGCATATTGCATTGCATTCATTCAACAAATATTTAGCACCTACCAATGCAAGGCACTGTTCTATAGAAAACCCACACACAAAACACCTACCTCCCATAGGGAGGGAGCAATTAAAAAAATAAGAAACATGACATAGAGTAGGGGAAAAGGGTATGGGGAAGATGTGGGGCAGGGAGTGCCAGGCCATTTAGAGAAAGAGAACAGAGCCATCTATAAATGAATGAAGGACTCCCTGGTAAGATTTGAACAGATTCCTAAAGGAAATCAGGGATGTGGCCATGTGAGTCACACTGGGGAAAAGTTCTCCAGGTAAAGCTTTGCACCAGTAAGTACAAAGTTCCTCAGCAGGGAGGGTGCTAAGAGCAAGGAAGAGCTAGGTGGCCAATGTGGCTGGCAGGTAAGAATCAGAAGGGCCTGGGAGAGCAGATCGTGGAAGTGAGAATGAAGGATTCACTAAGAATTAAATTGAAACTTTCTCAACAAAATCTGGGAAAGTAAGAATTACAAGCAGTATCATGCATCATTGGATTTCACACACCTAGTCCATACGAGCTATTTTTAAAAATTAGATGATCAATCATTGGTTTACAAATTCAGTGGTGTGCAAATTAATGCACATCTTGATCTTACCTATACAGGTGATCCCAGCTGCTGTTACTCATAAAGAGAAGCACTCAGAACTGCTCTTGCTTCGAGGGCAAGTAGTCTGACCACAGAGGTCAGTGTACCCCAGAATAACCTAACAGGTACATGAAACTTGAGAAACAGTCTGGGAAATCAATTAACCAAAAAGGCACACATACTAATTGACCACGCTAATCCTCATTGTTGTTTCAGACTTGTTCTATCAGTGAATACAGCTCTTAGTAGGTATGTCAACAGCAGCCCTAAAACTTATTAAAATTCTGAGACTTTCAGGGACTAAAGGAGCTTCCCTGTGATATATACAGTAAGAGCCACTCTGGGTTCAAAGCATCTTCACATGACTCAGGGTGGACAGATTTCAGGATAACATAAATCTCC